CTGAAGACTGATCAAACTCATATTTTTGTTTTCACCAGGAGTACAAAAAGACCTTATTCCTCTGATTCTCATTTAACGATCATTAAGATTAAAAATGCTGTACATGTATTTGAACAGCAACAAAACAATATCAATAAAGACCCATAGAAATAAATTGCTTTATACTTATCCATGCAAGTGGGACAACAAATTTTGAAATCCATTCTTACGGAAATGCATTATTTGCCAAAGTAAGTTACTTCAAAATAAATTCTACCATGGGTTCTTTAGTACAAGGCCCACAGCCAACAAATAAAGCTTCTTCAAATAGCAGGAGAGTACAATACCTGCTTACATTTTTCGGATGCCTTTCATCCCAAAACAAGTCCCAGACTATACAAAGCATGGTTAGTATTGTTCCTTATGGGCACATGCCTACATTAGAGGAGCTGCACAGCTACATTGTCCCAGCAGGCATTGTACCCCAAGAAGGCACAATATAATTCAGAGCTCCCTGACATACAGGGAGAGCACAGCTGCTGCTACACTCTTTAATGGGGTGCAATGTACACTGATTCCATGGCCAGCCAGCTCTGCTGCTTAGTGTAGCAATAGGGGGACCATAGGTCCTTCTCCTCACCCCCTCTGGAGAGGTTAACACTGCCATAGACTAGATTTACATGGACACTGTGCTCACGCATCTGCAAGGACTGCAGTAGTGACTGGCATCTGCTTAGGAGGCACAAGGGGAAGTGACGTCCTTATGTGCTTTCGCTGTGCTCATCTGTGAAGAGCCTAGTCAAAATTCAAATCCCTAAATTCAGAAATCATTTCATACACTGCTGAAGGCCACCAGTCTTTGGGTGAAATACAACAGTACACAGCAACCATAATGAATAGTTTAGGACAGCAAGTGACAAATAACATATCCATTTGAAACTAAAGAGAAAGTTTAGGGAAACAAAACATAATTTGTTCAGGAAACCAGAGCTCACATCTCCTGCTCTTGTGAAGCAGGCTGCTAGTCTTTTAAGTACCACAATGGTCACGTCCTCGATTTTAACTGTTCTCATGGAACATCAAACAAGCAGGGAGCTCAGTACTCTTCACAAGTTCTCAGGCTCTAGCTCAGTAAGCAGTCTTGATTAATGCAGTACAGCAGCAGACACTTCCAAAAGTGTTTTCGGGAACTCTGAAGCCTCCCACTGAACACAGATAGAAGACTCAAGAATTCCCAACCATCTTTAAGGTACTTCTAAGTTCCTGAGACAGCACTTAGTGAGACTGGTTAATTTAACCGCACTACCTTTCAATAATATGCCAAGGCCTTCCGTATAATAAGAATAAAGAGAAGGCTGACATATAATACAAGGCTATAGAGTTCCACAGAGAAGTTTTGGCATCATCATTAACCAAACAAGTGATTTGTTACCACAAGTCAAAGACAACAGAATTTCCCCATGATATAATGCAGAATGTGGGTCTGTAGGAGTTTCAGTAACTTCTACATTATGATTAGAGTATTAACCACCACTCTATTTTCTTCAAAGAAATTTTTAAAATGCCATACAACACGCCTGTTTTCAAACTTGCACATTCACAAAAACACCCATAAGTTTGATTTCTTGAATGCTGTTTTTATGATCTCATAATAAAGTAACCCAAACAACATCCCTGCAGTATTTTGAAGACAAAACTGCCTTCTCATAAGTTTCCACTGTAGTCCTCAATTCCTTCCTTCTGATTTATTAACAATGATCCTCTTTTCAAGCATGTAGGTAACAACCGATTACATTAATGAGAATTATATGTTTACACTGAAGATACTTTCCTACAAGTCTTAATCAAAGTCAAGGAAATTCCAAGTTAGCCTTGCTCATCCTCATCTGTCATACATGGGTCTTCTAGGGATCTCACAATAGCATATCACCTCTGTTGTGCGCATGCTATAATATCTAAGCAGAGGACGACAAGTTATAGACAGAGTGGAAATTTTAGCATTTAAAATGCCTGCTTTTGTCAGTTTAAGTTAGATCCGTAATTTTTTTCATTGACATTTTTGAAAAATCCTAATCATAGGTTACCGGTCTTGTTACCAGTAACTCATAGAAAAGAATATATATCAAAATATAAAAATAGGTTTTTAACAGTGCCCTCCTAAAAGCATGTCCCTTTGTTATTTCCATGCTTGTTTTAAAGAAAGGTTTCAATTCCCCTGAAGAATGCTCTTTCAAGAGAATGGTAGGCCAAGGATGGGCCAACAGCAACAGATACAGGCAGTGAGATAATGTTCTTTTATTAAGATTTAGACCACAAAGTAACCCAGACCTTTATTTCTTAACAGAAAGAATAAAAAAATATATTCAGTCATTGTCATGGTGGAATAAAATCAGTGAAGGCAAAAAATTTCCTGCTTCTCTCATCTGTCATTATGATTAGTTCATAAGAACAAACTGCAGAAAACAGTAAATCTGTCTTCAAGTCCGTCCCTCAGTTATAATTAACAAGCAATAGCCTTCCTAAATATTAACCTAGGCCATCTGAACCTGCTATGAGAAATATCTCTACTTACCTTATAAAAAACAACTTTACTGTGTTTTAAATAGCTAATATAGTCACAAGATTTGCTCCATAATCAAGTCTGAAATGTATTGAATTCACCTCCTACAAAGTATTGGGAAATTGAAAATATGAATGCTCTATGTGACTTACAAAACAAGGTAGGTGAGGCAATATCTTTTATTGGATCAACTTCTGTAGATGGACAGGACAAGCTTTCAAGCTTTATAAAGCTCTTCCTTAGCTCAAAAGCTGGACCCTTCCACAAACATAAGCTGGTCCAATAAGAGATACTACCCCACTTACCTCATCTCTCTCGCACCCTCGGACCAAGATGGCTACAAACTGCAAACATACATTACTTAAGACATTTAAAAATACATTAAATTGGGTATTACATTTTCAGTCCAGTCTCATCAGCTTCAATAAAAATGAATCATAGCCTTCAAAGCCAACTTAAGGGGTCTAATAACTTCTGAATATATACTTTCCTACATGGCTACAGTCTTAATTCATATTCTGTATATTTTCCCCTTGCATGAAGAACTGACTTAGTCAATTAACAGTAGATTTTCTTAGAAGAATCCATCCCAAAATCATAGAATATCAGGGTTGGAAGGGACCTCAGGAAGTCATCTACTCCAACCCCCTGCTCAAAGCAGAACCAATCCCCAATTTTTGGCCCAGATCCCTAAATGGCCCCTTGAGGATTGAACTCACAACTCTGGGTTTAGCACGTCAATGCTCAAACCACTGAGCTATCCCTCCCCACTCCCTCAGTGGTTTGAGCATTGATGTGCTAAACCCAGGGTTGTGAGTTCAATCCTGAAGGGGGCCATTTAGGGATCTGAGGCAAAAATTGGGGATTAAAAATAAGGACCAGCTCCTGCAAACACTACTACTAAAGTCACTACTTGTGGTAGCAAGCACTATACTCAGTGGTTGCAGGGGCCAGGCCTTGACACAATGTGTTACATGTAAAGAAACTGCATTGTAAGATTTCTACCCAGTGTGTCTAGAAGCAAGGATGCTGAAGTATAATATTAATAAAGTAAAAACAAAAAAATTAAGGGAGGCAACAGTGACAACAACGAGCAAGACAAACGTTGGAAACTGACTTTTAGAGCTTGCTAGAAAAACATTTTCCCCCTGCCAAAGATGAAATTTTCTTCAGAAAAACCCAAAATCTTTCCAACTGAAAACTGCTGAAATTTGAAAACATTTTGGGTTTTGGCTGAAAAGTTCCAGTTTCAGATGAAAATACAAACATATGAAGAAAGCGCACACACTGAAAATTTGTGTGTAACTGAAGACCTGGTTTTCACTTGAAAATAAAGTCGATGGAAAATTTTCAGTCAACCCTACTAATTTTAAATTGAAGACATTCAAGCACAGAACAAAGAGTCCCATAGTTAAACTTTTATTTAAGAAAAATTAAGAACAGGACTACTGTAGAGTAGTGGGGGTGAGGGGTTTCAAAATGTAAGCCTGGATATTTAGGTAGTTTTACATCCTCAAGCATGGAAGCAAAAACGTTTTTCTAACATCTTTATGTCACTGCTGAGACCATTAGAAATCCAACAATCACATCTAAGCAGGCTGGATCGCAACAAGTCAATATCCAAAGCTATCTAACAGGTTCAAACGAGGACACAGTCTGAATATCATATTATAGGAATGTCCTTCTTTAGCTCTTGCCTGTTAACTACAAATTCATTCATATTAACACTGGTATTCCTTACCAAGGTACCTTTATATCTGATCATCAGTACGGCAAGCTGAAAAATCTAGTTAACACTACTAGAAATGTTTCTACTTCATTTTAGACATTTCACAACTTTAGGCAAAAGCCTAGCTGTATTACAAAATATATCTAATTTTAATTGCTTATGGAAATAACAATCATAAGAAAAAGCAAAGAAAACCAAGGTTACTCCAACCTGGAAGCTGACAACCAACTAGATGGCAGGACATCATATGCACAGATGTGACCAGGCTGGGCTTGATGGAAGAACAAGCCACAGACAAGTAATACTGCACTGTTCCCAGTGTCTACAAAGAAGCTCCAGGATGAAATGATGATGATGGGGAAAACAACTTGACACTTTATGACTAACTTACACATTAACTGTAATGAAATCCAAATGAAACAGCTAATAGCAACCAGAAAAGTCTGGTATATTCTCTTATCTTGACTCTTAAAAGAAGTAAGCGTTAAAGATCTAGAGTAAATAATTAGTGTTCCCAAAAAGTTGGTAGAGAAATTTCAGTCGGATCTTAAAGCAGAAGAAATACTGAGAACTGCAAGAGCGGGGATCACACTAAGGAAGTGCTAAATTAGATTACAAGAGAGAATACATACTAAATGCAAATTCAGTATAAACAAAGTTAAAATCTTAACATTAGGAGCTGTGAATGAATACCAGAATGACTGATGTCTTAAAAACGAACTGTGTCTTTACCTCATCATCTTTATACCAGGACAAGCTTTCTGCAGTCAGAACAAACCAGTACTCCTTGGACCCCCCTTTCATAATGCCGATATTGTTGATGGTAAGCCAGCCTTTCCGGATCACCTGTACAGGATTGTAAGTCAACAGACATGTATTAATTGCCAGTCACTCATTCACGAAGCACAATTCGCTTTCTAAATTCATTCTTTTGACTAAAAAACTGCTTTACCAATAAAAGGTGCGCTTTTCAGTCATTGACAAATTTGGAATATAATTTCCACAGGTTCTGATGATCACAAGAAAAAAGCAATATAGAAGAGAATGAATTTTGTGGGGGAGGGGGCTTGGAGGGAAAAGAGATGCCTAAGGTCTATCCTCATGTATATATACTATAAAGTATACGGTTGAATAACAGATGTGTGATCTCGATACTATTTGCTTGCAGTGTAGAAACACATTGTGAAAACCCATACAAAAAACAAAAGGTATAAAAAGGATGGTTGCTTTCACTGCTCTGATGCTGCTATTTTTTTAGATCTGGGAGGTCAATTATGGAGTAGGAATCGTGAGCTAGGACCAGACCATACTTCCTCTCTGGAACAGTCAGTGGCTTCTGGAAACCTTACCCTTCAGAGAAAAAAGCAGTAACAGAAAAGTAGAGAGTTCAAGGCAAAGGAATAGAGGCAAGGAACAAGAGAAACAGAGGAGGAAAGAAAGGAGCAAAGAGCAGAAAGGAAAGAAAAAAGGAGGTTGGGATGCAGAGAAAGAAGAAAAATGAGACTGACTGGAGAGAACAGAAGGGAAACAAAATGGAAGAATAGAGAGAGAAGGGAGTATAGAAACCAACGCTAAGGTTAAGAGGAAAATCATGCAGGAAAAAGGGAGAGCAAGAGAAAATTGGGGAGGGATAACAGGACTCAAGTGGCAAAATGGAAGGAAGAGGACAGGTCAGCAGAGACATTTAAAGAAAGTATGAGTACAAAGGTCCACTGAGCTTTCTGATAAAACTATGACTAGTTCAGTAAAAGTTTCAGAGTAGCAGCCATGTTAGTCTGCTTCTGCAAAAAGAAAAGGAGGACTTGTGGCACCTTAGAGACTAACAAATTTATTTGAGCATAAGCTTTCATGAGCTACAGCTCACTTCATCGGATGCATTCAGTGGAAAATACAGTGGGGAGATTTATATACACACAGAACATGAAACAGTGGGTGTTACCATACACACTGTAACAAGAGTGATCAGGTAAGGTGAGCTATTACCAGCAGGAGAGTAGGGGGCAGGGAACCTTTTGTAGTGATAATCAAGGTGGGCTATTTCCAGCAGTTGACAAGAACATCTGAGGAATAGTGGGGGGGGATAAACATGGGGAAATAGTTTTACTTTGTGTAATGACGCATCCACTCCCAGTCTTTATTCAAGCCTAAGTTAATTGTATCTAGTTTGCAAATTAATTCCAATTCAGCAGTGTCTCGTTGGAGTCTATTTTTGAAGTTTTTTTGTTGAAGAATTGCCACTTTTAGGTCTGTAATCGAATGACCAAAGAGATTGGAGTGTTCTCCAACTGGTTTTTGAATGTTATAATTCTTGACATCTGATTTGTGTCCATTTATACTTTTATGTAGAGACTGTCCAGTTTGACCAATGTACATGGCAGAGGGGCATTGCTGGCACATGATGGCATATATCACATTGGTAGATGTGCTGGTGGATGAGCTTCTGATAGTGTGGCTGATGTGATCAGGCCCTATGATGGTGTCCCCTGAATAGATATGTGGACACAGTTGGCAACGGGCAAGTCTGAATTTAAAAGGAAAAGGAAAAGGGTTCACTGCATTACATACACCATACAATGAAGTCTTCCAAATCTCTCTGCGAACTCATGTCAATTTCCACTATTTCTTCCCAAGATCTCGTTTACTTGCTTACGAAAGATTGGGAGTGTGGTTGAAAATGCTCTGGGAGAAATTTTTCAAAAAGTGCTTATACTTCTAGTGACTACTACAGAAGCATGGAGTTATGCAATCAAATGGAGGTTGCCGCTTACTTTTATGGATAAGCACTTGGGCTGTGGCAAACTTCTCAGAGACTTCCAATCTCAGCCTGCTCCAACATCAGCAGCAGACAAGAGACAAACAATTCGAAGTCTGCTTCATGGTCAATAATCAAAGTCTGAAACTTCCAAGTATATTTCCCTCAATGTGCACATATAATAAGCTCTGTCAATGCCAATAGCTTTGATATGTACGCAGTGAGAATACCTTGTACTCATTAATAACAAAGCCAACTGAAAAGGGGATGAGGTGCCCTACCACCCGTTATTGCTGACAAAAGGTGGAAAAATGTCTGCAACTATAAATTTAGCACCTTTTGTTGCAGCTCTCCCCAAAGGCTGAGACTGCAGAAAAGCTTATGCTATCAGTCCCTGATCAACGCTGATGTTGCTTTGCAAAGCAAATGGGCAAACATGGCTTCTGAATGTTTTTAGAGGTGCATTTTCAAACATCTCAGTCCTTAAAATATCTTTAACCCATTCACTCCAAAGCCACAGCTAGAAAACGTGCCAGAAAAGTGGAACATTGGTGGCACAAAGTTAATTTACATCTTCCAGTTCCAGGAAGGGAAGCTGAAATTTTGCACCTACCATAGCCTCAAACAAACAAAGAAGGACTAAAAATGCAGTAAAACCATTGCAAGTTCTACATGGAGCGGAATATAGGCGTTGGTAGGGAGAAAGGTGACTCTTCAGAACCCAGCAATGTGACAACCCAATACACAGCTGCACATAAGGTGCTCTGGCCACGCTATTTAAGTGGTAAGAGTGTAGCAATTTTGCTCTGATATTTAGTCTTAAAAATGGATTGACCAATCTTGTGGCATCACTATGCACTTCCATGGGGGAGATCATGGCTCTGGGTACTAAACATGGTACCCAAATGCCTGGGTTTTCCTGGAGTGGACAGAGCACTACAAAGTCAGCTCCTGCGCGGAAGAAGCATCTCAGGTCATTCTTGAGCAGTGCTGATGAGTACCAGAAGCAGTTGCATCTACCCTCCTAAGCAGACAATCTATGACAAATGACACTGGGGTAATAAATAGGCAGGAATGGGAAAATCTGTTGATTCTCTTGGAAAGGACTGGACCTCCCTTGGAAAAATGTTTATCTTTTCCTAGCTAAAAAACAAAAATGAAGCACATAACCCAAATGACTAATTAATTTTGTCTCATTGAAAATAAATAAAGTTGGCCCTCTCTTCCTTGACTTAGCGAGGACCTACACAGACTAAATTAATTTCAGGTAGGTCAGCAATCAGACAGTAATAGTTTTCAAATCACTAGTGACCAGGCCTGGCCTCAAACCAGCAGTCTAGAGAAGAAGAGCTCTGTAAGTCTGAAAAAGGCAGGCAATGTTCACTTAAAGCAGCCCACCCTGTTACCAGCTGTTGAACCTGCAGGGAGAGAATTAAGTTGGTTCTATCGGCCCACTGAGGTTGGTGACTCATTAATAGGGCCCCACCAAATTCACGGCCATGAAAAAAGCGTCACAGACTGTGAAATCTGGTCTACCCCCATGAAATCTGTACAGGAAATCTGGTCTTGTGTATGCTTTTACCCTATATTACACAGATTTCATGGGGGAAACAAGCATTTCTCAAATTGGGGGTCCTGACCCAAAAGGGAGTTGCAGGGGGTCACAAGGTTATTTTAGGGGTGGGCTGCAGTATTGCCACCCTTACTTCTGTGCTGCCTTCAGAGCTTGACGGCTGGAGAGCAGTGGCTGTTAGCCGGGTGCCCAGATCTGAAGGCAGTGCCCTACCAGCAGCAGCAGCAGCGCAGAAGAGTGCCAATACTTTACCATGCCACCCTTCTGTGCTGCTGCCTTCAGAGCTGGGAGGCCGAAGAGTGGTGGCTGCTGACTGAGGGCCCAGCTCTGCAAACAGAATCACAGAAGTAAGCGTAGCAATACCATACCATGCCATCCTCACTTCTGCACTGTTGCTGGCAGCAGCTATGCCTACCGAGCCGGGCTCCCACTCTCCAGCTGCGCAATTCTGAAGGCAGCATCACCACCACCAGCAGTACAGAAGTAAGGGTAGCAGTATCGCAACCCCTTCTACAATAACCTTGCGACTCCTCCACAACACCTTTTTGGGTCAGGACCCCTACAATTACAACACCAAGAAATTTTAGATTTAAATAGCTGAAATCATGAAATTTATGATTTTTAAAATCCTATGACCGTGAAATTTACCACAATTGACCGTTAATTTGCTAGGGCCCTACTCATTAACATACTAAGGGCTTATCTCCACTTACTGGGGGATCAACACATGGCAATCAGTCCACTGGGGGTCGAGATCGACTGCCGATCGCTCTCCCATCAACTTCGGTACTCCACTGGAACGAGAAGCATAAGGTAAGTCGACAGGAGAGTTTCTCCTGTCGACCCAGCACAGTGTAGACAACGCAATAAGTCGACTTAAGGTACATCAACTCCAGCTATGTTAGTCACATAACTAGAGTTGCATAACTTAGGTCAATTTAGCCCCGTAGTATAGACCTGTCCTAAGACATAACAGAAACAGGAGTGGCTCTCTAGAGGGAGAATCTAGGGTGTGGGCTGATCAGTCTGGAGGGAGCCACCAGGCGTTGAGCAGAAGTTTGTCATCTTGTTAACCTCCATCTTAATCAAACCAAACCCCAAACAGGGGGAGTTTTTACTCTGATATATTGTAGTGTATGGATAATGTGTTCAAGAGGAGGTTGGGAAAGGCATCACAACATCAGTCCAATGACCCATCAGATCCTTTTAAGATGTATGTTACGATATCTAGCAAAGTGTATGGATACCCTTCCAGTACACAATCTCTAACCAGAAACAACCAATTTTGCCTATCCAGACATATTTATCAGCCTTCAAACAACTTATGAAGAGTACAGTGCCATAGAACCGCAATAATATAATTAAACAAAGCAAAATTAAAGGAATGCTGTGGCGTGGTGCACGTTTTAGACATATGAGTCAGGAAGTTATGATTCCCCCCCCCCGCCGCACAAGTTTAACTTAGCCTCCTAATAGGGACAATGACAGTTACACAGCAGCCACTGAATGCCCCAAAGCACCCCGCAAATGTTACAGCTTCACAACAACTGTGTGAAGAAGGTATTCCTTGCATTTTACAAAGAAAGAAACTGAGGTATGGGGAAGCCAAGTGACTGGATTCCTTTCAACTGCACCACAATGCTTGTAATTTAAAATATTCCCATGCTCAGTAGAGAGCAAGGCACAAAATGGGAAGCAGCAGAAAGGCAGCCAGACTGATGCTATAGTTAAAGTTGGTTTGGGACAGGGAGCCGGAAAAGATTCAGAGAGGGAGTTGCCACTCTAGAAATGAACAGTTGGGTGCAAGGAGGGATTCACAGATGAATAGCTAAGTGCAGTTTCCGCGTATCTGAAGTTGATGAACACTTAAAAAGGGAAGGAAGGTAGCATACTGTGCATTGGGATACTAGAATACTTTCCTTTGTTCTGAACATTTTATAAAACCAATAATGAAACAGTCACTTTTTTTCTGCAACTCAGGAAAACACGCATTCTAGCTGAGGGCTCAGTATGGGCTATTTTTAAGCATTTATTTAAGCCTAAGAAACACTAACAACTTTCTTTGCTGGCCAGGAAGGAACTCCCCATAATGTGGCTCCCAGCAGAGGACCCTTCTGTGATCCCGGCAACTCTGCTGACAGAGCCTCACAGATATACAACCGCCAGTGGGTGAATGCAAAAGCAAGCTGGCTTGCTGATACTACTGTCAGTCACTCCCCCATTAGGTCTATCCAGTAGAGGAATGAAGCTGCCAGCTGTTTCCTCAAAGAATCCTGCTTGTGGGAGATTGGATCCAGCTGCCATTCCCACAAAGCACTGGGTTGTGTCAGTGGCAGGACACCGGATTGAGGCAATACCCTCAGCCTGTGTGTTTTTCAAGGAATGTTGCTGAATTTCCACTAATCGACCAACACGCACGTCCCCATTAAAATAGAGCACTACACTCCCTAAACATACTGAAATCTGCAAAGGAGCAGCAGACCAAAATATCAAGCAACTGGAGACTTTTGGTGGATGTTTCAGGAGGGAAGGGAATCTAGAGGTGTGCTGATGGCTGGGGAGTGAGCGTGAGGTTGCAAGTTATTTTCAGTGAATTGTACAGGTTCCTAGAACTTCACATGGGCACATTTTATATACAGAACTACAGCAAATCAATAGAATTTCAATACATTCAGGACCAAGCAACGTTGTGTGATAAGGGCTCAGACAATGCCATGTACTCAAAGGAACACTATCTGGTTAAGTATTCATGTCCTGGTTTTCAGGAGGTGCTGAACTCCCACTAGTCTCCCATTGATTTCACCTCTGAAAATCAAGCAACTTTTTAAAAATAAATTTCCTTGCCTGTAAAACAGATAAGGCATTTAAAACAAAAACATTTCCATTTTAATAATCCAGTTTAGTTTTAACCATTGTGCTGTTTACATTTTGCACTACTCTCGACTTGGATAGTGACAAAAGAGAGTAATTATTTCCATTATTGTTCAGACGCCTGTGATGGGACATTCACCCCACACTAGCCCTAGAGGGGTTAATATAGGCAAGAGAGGCCAACTAGCAATCGGCTGCACCTGAAGGGGAGCTGGGACAGTGAGGCTTAATTGTGAATAAAGCTCACCTGGATAGAAAGAGGCAGGACTTCTATAAAGCCTGGAGCCGGTAACAGTGGGGGCGGGGAGGGCTACATGTGAGGAAGCCTGCAGTCACACCCTCTGATACAAGGGGGGAGAGTAGGAGTCTGTCACAGGAGTGTAGGGAAGAAACAATAAGGGCTGGGAGAACAGATGTGAATTGCTGGTTCAAGGACCCCTAGATTGGAACCTGGAGTAGAGGGCAGGCCTGGGTTCTGCTACAAGCCACTGTGGCAGAGGTGCAGTTAGCACAGTGATAGGGAGGCTGCCTGAGCCTGTGTGGAGAGACACTTTGGTGAGACCCCGGAAGGGCAGGACAACTATGACTTGGCTAGAAGGCTAAATCACGAAGGGGAGGCACTGAAGCTCCTGACCAGCGAGAGAAGGACCACAGAGCGAGTGACTGAGGCAACCAGCTGAGTAACTGCAGGACAGGGTGCGGACAGAGGCGAGCTAATTCCCCAGATGAGCCATGAGGAGGTGTCACTGTCGGGCGCCAGTTACACCATCATTTCACTTTTGTGTTTGGGTTGCAAATATTGCAAGGAATATTTTTTTAAAATCATAATGCCAAATTCCACTCTGCATGTACCGGATATGAGTGACATGAGTTATGATCATCAGGAAGGTGAGAAACATAAGCCATGCCAGAAGTGAGTGGAGACAATATTCTGACTAGCAGCTGGATTGTGTGGACAGGATGAATGAAGGATGACACAGTTCCTTCCTTCAGGATTCTGATAGATAAACTTGGTGTCTGAAAAATGAAAAAATTTGGGGGGCGGATATGAGAGAGAGAGAGACTGTGTGTGTGTGTGTACACAAATCAGAAGGAAGTCATTTTGCAGATAGTTTCAGCTGCACAAAAACAAATCATATCTGCTCTCTTCCCTCTCCGCCATTTCACACTGGTAAACAGGAAAGCAGGATCTGATGGACAAAGGACAGATTTTTGTGAACTGCTTCACAACTTTACAGTTCCTTGCATCATTTAAGAGATTTCTGATTAATAAAGTAGAACAAAATATACTATGACTAAGTATTAAATAAGCGTGAACAGCTGTGCTAGCCACTTTTCAAAAGTAATGTTTGAGAGGTCATTTTAAGACTGACTGTCATTTGAACTGGCTGGGAAAGTCAGGGAAAAGAAGTGTGTGCAAATCTGAAGGTTAGGCACTGTAACAAGACAGGCATAAACAGGAGTTATTTGCTGAGTTAGCCATTATTTAAACAAGTAACTACACAATAGTTCCACTGAAACAATGTTAGTTGCATTGTAACTCCTAACACTGCTGCTTGAGCTCCCAATACTTGCAGTACAAAATTGTGTCACATCAGCACTGTCAAATTGGGGTACGAATTATAACAAACCAGGGGTAAGGCAACACCACAATGGATTTGTTTCTTAGGTCAAATGTGAAAAGTTTGCTCACACTATAGGCCAGTAGGGAATAATATCTTGGAGGAAATCAGGTCAGCTTCCAAGGATGGAAAACAGAACTAGTGAATGACTTGGATGCAACAGGTCCTTTGCAGTTGATTCAGAAAACAGTAGCAATATTGACTTGTCCTAGTGTAATTTCCCTGCTTTAATTAGTAGAGGGCAAGGGTCAAAATATTCAACATATCTTCCATCATGTCTCATGTGAGTTTCTGGTTTGGGCTCATTATAGAAATAGGACCAAATTATTACATCCAAATTGTCTAAAAATAACTTGGACAACAATTTTGGATCCAAGATTCAGATGACCTTCTCCAACTGTAATGGTTACTCCATATGGAGCAATATTGGATTTTGCCACTGAAAGTATCTTACGTTTTGTTCTATTTTAAAATAGATTTTTACATTAAAATGACAATGTTTAAAACACAAGTTTAGTGATGGTGACAAAAACCACAAATCTCACCACACAAAATATACAGTTAAGAGTTGGTCAGTCTTCATGGCCCAGATCTTGCTAGAAGCACTATGTAAAACAAAGTGTTACACTGATTATTTTATGCAGATGGGAAGACAGACTAACCTGTGGCTTAGAAAGAAACCTTGTTGAGTCAGGTCAAAACCTCAGGCAGTAGCAAAAAAAAAAAAAAAAAAGCCAAAGATTAAGCACAAGAAGATAAATTAATAGAGGGGAAAATGAGCAAAACTATACTTCACAGAACTGGGTATTATGCATTTTTCACAAAAAAGATGTCTGTATTTCTGATATGTGAAATAATTCTCTATATTATCATTATTCAAAGCATATTACAATCAAGTAGGAAACCCCAGTACCAGTCTGGATTAGTTTAATGATCTTTCCAACTGCTATTAGAGTCAGTTTTGTTTATGCCCTGTTGCCTTACTCAAAACTGAATATCATATTTATTTTAACTCAGTTTATAATGGTTATTGGTGTAATTTGGCAATATAATGACAAACTGGAATTAAATATATCCATTTTCATTATACAGGTCTTATCAAAGAACATGTCATATGGCACCAAACAGCACAATCGACTTTTACCACTTATATCCACCTGTCACTGAATTGGAAGAGTGGCTTGTTATAGAATTAACTCCTAAATGTTTAGAAAATAACTTACGATTAATAATGTAAAATGTATTCACCTAATATTTGGTGGAAGAACTGATAAAGTAAAAATCTATACTGTGACACACTGATCCTCCTACTGCTATGAAAAAAATGCTATGAAAGCTGAAGTGGTTTAAAAATTGTATCATTTTTTCTTTGAATTGTGCTTGTTGGAAAGGACTTTATGAGTTGTGACAGAAGGCATTTGTAAACAGTACATCCATTTAAGCAATAATTGATATTTCCCGTACTATAATTCACCTACCTTTCAAGAGGCAGAGCCTCCATATACTATAAACATCAAATAAGAAATATCCAATTTTTCCAATGATATAGTTTAAAAGGACATTGTTCATTAGTAAGTTTAGTTCATTTTAAGTCAATTTAATGAAGTAAGCTTAAACATAGATTTGGTTGAAAGCTTAACAACACTTTTTAAGTTGTACTAGTTCGGACTTGTAAGTCACAGCAGGTTAGTGGCAATGAAGGGATGAACTGCAATTACATTTCATTGAGAAGGTGTTAAATGTGAAACAGTTTCAAGGTAAAAAAAATTTAGTAGCTAGCATTAATTAAACTAATGAGTTAGAGACAAACTTTGCCCTTTGAGAAGCTAAATGAAAAAGCAACAATAAAGCTTACAAAACTTAGCTCGTACAATTTGCCGTGAAGGCGGTAGATTGGCTCCCTGAAATAGCAAAGAATTATAAAAATAAAGTTTTATTTCAGAAACATTTTCTCAATTCAGAAGTCATTTTGTCAAGCTCTTCTCACTTCCAAACCATTAAGGTAAATCAAAAAGACTTTTGTTTTGTCTTATCTCCGAAATAAGTAAGGTTCAGCAAAGTCTTTTTACCAAGTTACCAATTTTGAGCTTTTTCTTTTAAAGCCAAAATTTTGTGGGGTTTTGCTGTTTTGTTTTGTTATTTTGAGAGACAAAATACAGTCACTCGGACTCAGGAATAGTTACTCCAATTTGTATATTTCTGGGACATAACAGAATTGGGTGGTTTTCCTTCTATAAGACAACCCCAAAGCAGATATGATTATGGCTTTGTCTACACTGGCAATTGAACAACAAAACTTTTGTCTTTCAGAGATGTCAAAAAAAATACACTCCCAAAAGAAAAGTTTTGCCGACGGTGCTCTCATACCGACAAAGCTAACCCCACTCTTTGGGGGTGGAAGTTTTTTGTCAGCCGGAAAGCTGAAAAACAGCAGCCACACTGCGTGACTTTTAGTAGCACGGCTCTAGCGACAAAGTCATGTCACTAAAAGCGGTGTAGTGTAGACACAGCCTTAGTGTTTGACATGTGTTCCTGCACAGTTATCGGAGACGGAAGTCTCTCTCTTTGGAGGGTCTTTGGAGCCGTTTCAGCCATTAGACCTTTCAGTTTTGTTTTGTTTTTAATCCTACCTGGCATGTAACTCCAAAACACATAGAAGAGGGTCAAGCTCTGGAGGTATCATTGCTTCCAAACTTTCCAGAAGCTAATGGACTATTTTGGCCAACATTTCAAAAATGAGTAGTGATTTTTGGTGCTTGTTATTTTGGGCACTCAACGTGAGACACTTTAAAGAGGTCTGATTTTCAGAAAGAGCTGAGTACTTGCCTTCTGCAAGTAAAGCTCCTTTAAAGCATCTCAAAATCACCATCCAAAAATGGAGGCACCCATCAATACTGGTCCCTTTTGAAAAATCTTTGCTTTTAACTTTTCATTGTAATGTTTAATGCAGGAGCAATTAGATGCGAGAACAACATGCAAGCAAATAACCCAGATTAAAGGAAGTTGACTTCATTTTATTTTGACTATCCAAAATTGAAACCATCACAAATGAACACTGAGATACCATGATGTTTTTTTTATATGTTTTGCTTAAAAGACAAACACTCTGTGGAACCTTAGAAATATACAAGAATATATATTAAGGCTGGTTATATCAATCATCCTTAGTGTTTTAACTTAAAAAGAAAACAGAAATTGATCCTATAAAATGCTGAGCACCCTTAACTTGCAGTGGAAGTTGAGGGTGACAGCACTTCTTCATAGTATAAGCATCTTGCAAGCATGTACTATACATAAAAGAAACAGCCATCTAATTTAGTTAATGCCATCTCAGCAAGAGTGCTATTAGTCTGAGACCACCAATCAGCTTTGTTTCTTCAAAACGAGACCGTGGTATGTAATCAACATTTTTACGAAGTCAACTGAAAATTTTCAGCAGAGGTAAAGACAAGCCTGCTTTTGCATACCGACCTGTCCCTTCACTGTGTTATCAAGCTGTGCACATGTGTGAACTAGTAAACTATTATACAACTGAGAGCAGGTATAAAACAAGTACTCACATGGTATTGGTCTTTGAAATCATTCACAAGTTTGAGCTTAATGAAAACTAAATATTTAGGGACAACACAGGAAAAAATTCTGGGTACTTAAGGGCATCAAGGAGGAAACACTGAAGAGCAGTCCAGTTAGCAGCAAAATTATGAAAAAGTTATAGCTGACAACCCTAATGAAGATGTCAGCTGGTTCTGAAAACTTAAGTAAAGCAAGTAAAAAAAGATGCATTTTATATTATGTATCAAGCAAAACTGGAAACTTATAAATTTACAGCAAAAAATAAAAGATACAGCCCATAAAATCAACAACTGAAGTTCACTTATACATGCAATTATCCATTCTCTTATCAGATGCCTACCTGAGTTCCAACTGCACTTTTGTTAACCTGACTGCTTCGTTGTTGGGCACTAAGAAAAGCAAAGAGAAAAGTTACATTGAGGAAATTTAAGATGAGTCCTTGAGCAGCATGCTTTGGAAACAACAAAATATAAAAATTTATGAGTCCAGAATCTGAGGTTAAAAAGAAACACAATTCAGCCTCAAATTCACAAGCAAACTCAGTTCATGTAAACTTCTATTTACAGAAAACAGATCAGCACAGATTCTTATTAATCACCTCCTCTGTAATGTACATTGCACTACCATAGTAAATAACCCTTTGTGTTGACTTACATGTCTGATGAGGTTACTAAAGACAAAAAAAGTTATGGCTCATCTGTGCACACATGAAATCTTAGGCAATATAAATATTAAAAAGGGGCAAGAAAAAATGAGTCACTTTAGTTCTTTATAACATTGCAGCAAAATCCTCCCACACCCCATAGGTTCTCTAAAGGCCTAGCCTAGCAGCTTGTTTTGGATATTATTCTAATTTTTATATGTACTTTGGGGATGTAAATATAAAATGAGGGATTAAACCATCACAAAAGGTGGTTAAAAAGCTGGAATCTTACAGCAATGCAGCATAGTTTAAAATAAGTTTTGCTCAGTTTCTGAATTTTGCTAATCCCATTACTGAAATGAAACTCTCCTCTCTCACAAAAATGCACAAGTCATGATAGCTACAAAGTTTAATTCTAAAGGCATTTATATTGCATGATACAGTGGCAGCAAGTTTTGTTTGGAGGCTTCAGGATTAAATTAATTTGTCCCTTTTCAACAAACATTAATATATATTGCAGATCTGCCACAACCACTGCTTTGAAAGTAGGAAGGAGAATAGACATGAGTAAGTTAATTCCAGGCAATATCTGTTTTGATCCCAGATAAGTGGCCTGATTCTGCAGCTGGTTGGTGCAGAATGGCCATTCCACAGATTGGCTGAAGAGTTGAGCTTAAGCTTGCCAACTTTGTAATATTTAAAAACCAGACACTCCAGCAGGAGTGCTGGAACCTCCCCTGTGCCACCCCTTCCCCCAGGCCTCACCCCTGACCTGCCCCTTCCCCACAGGCCCTGCTTCTGCCCTGCCCCTTTCTCCTGACCCCAATGCAGGTAGGGGGTGGCCCTGGCTGAGTAGGGGCTGGAACAGGTGATGACTCATCGCCTCCCCTGCTTGCAGTGACCAGATGTTGGGCGTCTGGTCAGGAGATCTCACTGGGCACCATCAGGTCCCCTTTTCAACTGGACTTTCTGGTAAAAAAACAGGCAACTGGCCACCCTAGTTAAGCCCCTATGCACTGATTCTGCAAACACTTTACTCAAGTTAATAGTCCACTTGTTTTCAGTGCGCCTACTCACAAGTAACATTACTCACATGCATGTTTGCAGAACTGGGCCGCTAGTCAATAACCCAGATACCTGGAGACGTGTTGATGTTTGGTTAGTCATAGTGCCTCCTTTATTGTATTCATCAAGCATAAATGATGGTTAATATTGTACACACAAAATATGAAGTTAACCCATCACAGACAAAATAGGTTCTGAGTTACTGTCTCAGTAGCACCCATATAAATTTGCACTAGGAAATATCATTCCATCTTCACTTTTACATGAAACTTTCCTATCTGCTTGTAAAAGATAATTAAATAGGAAACCAACATCACATTAAAAAAGAAGAGCCACTCTAATTCTTTTAATTTCATAACATTCCCTAAAGTTAAGAAAATAATGTCTGATTTATAGTTTGCGGCTAGTAAGGAAAAGGCCCCAATCAGCAAATAAAAGAAAGCCATGAGACTAATGAGTAGTATTACCTATTACTTGCAGTGGGGGCAGGATGTATGGTTCAAAAAGTAACAAATAAAATAAAGAGCTGTGGTAACACGACAAAAAAAATGGTCTTAAAAGAAACAAGCACAAACCTTCCCACTGTTCTGTTAGTCAGCAAGAAGGAGAAGAGATAGGAGGCCTTTGGAAGAAAGGAGATTGGAAATCTTATCTGGATTAATACTAAAAAGAAGGGTGAATCGTCTCAGATGGGTTTTTAGTTGAAGTCAGTCATTGGCAATGACTTCACCGCTGTTTGCAAACTCTTAAAGGGTTCATTGCTAATACCTGCCTGACCAGGTTGGAGCTGACCAAGATGGGTCTAACTGGGTTTTGCCCGTTTGGAAGCATCTTGATCAATGCTGAAAATGTTCAGGTGTAGTGACTGCTTATTTTTAGGCTGTTAAGCATGTTTAGAGCAACTGTATAAAATACTATTTGGCCTTTGGACTTAGAGGAATTTATGGTTAAATTAGTGCCTGGTGGTTTCCCATATTAATGAGAAATATTATTAATAGTTCCAACAGCCACTCTTTCTTAAGCACAGTGACTGGCTTTTTGTTTACCTAGATTAAAAAATATTGTTCACTGAAGAAATCAATATATATGGCTGTGTTCGGAGAGATTAGATAGATATGGGTTAGAGCTTAGCAAATCAGAATTTCTATCCTGCAGTAAATTCCAATATTTCACCATTTGTTTTCCTCCCAAATAAAGACTTTACATCAAAATATCAAAATTTTTCCTCAAAGTTTTCAGAAGATTTTGGTTCTGAAATGATTCATTCTGACATTAACTGAAAAGAAGAGTTTTGACATTCCCAGTCCAAAATGTTTCATTTGAAGTTAATTTAACATTAACCTGCATCTGCTTAAGGAATAGTGGTATCCCATTGCTCTGATTCTTCCCTGTGGGCCAGTCACCCTGGCCAAACTACATCTCCTGCAATGTACCATAGTCCTATAATTCCCATGATTGACCATGAGACTCCATTAGAGGGGAGGCCATGGTGCATCATGGGAAAGTATAGTCTGGAAAGCTTAGATTTTGCAAAAACTGCATTTAGGCTTCTATAGTTAAGATCCTTCTTGTCTCCTTAATAATTTCTGACAGTAGAGATGCTTACTGACAATTGCACTTATCAAAAAATATAAGTGTATTGCCATTTTCAGGTCTATATATACCAGAAAATGGGTTTTGAAGCTACGATCACAACTCAAAGTTCTAAGTCACTGGACTCATTGAGGTGTACTTTGAGCCACCCCTGGCACAGGTACTTAGGGTTTTCCCAGTGATCTAACAATCCATTTATTTCCAGTTGGGGATAAAAATATCCCTTTAAAGATAATCAGTGAAAGAGAATAAGAAGCAGAGGTTCCAAACCTTCATATCTTTGTGGAGAAAAGGGTGGATGAGTAGTATTCCATGAAAACATACCTCTTCCAAGGGTAACAACTGAACATCAGTAATTCTCTGCAACGTTTATAAGAAAAAAAGCAAGACTACAATATGCTGTGAAAAACAAACTGGGTGAACATAGGCCTAAGAAGTAACCATTTCCTTTGTTTAATATATGGATAGGTAATATCCCCACAAAATACAGCAGAGGGTAAAGGAAATCCAGGGGCAACCCAAAAGAAATAAAACTCTTGGGGAGGGAGATGGGCACCCTAGTTCCAGGAATATATTGTGTAACACTGAAAAGCCAGATTGGATTCATCTCGAGATCTGATCTAAGCAATAATGCTAGAATAATGTACAGAACACTGGTAATTTGTTTTTCAGAAAGGTTGTGAACCCATTCTAGAAAGATATCATAGAATAATAGGACTGGAAGGGACCTCAAGAGGTCATCTAGTTCAGTCCCCTGCACTCATGGCAGGACTAAGTATTATCTAGACCATCCTTGAGAGGTGTTTGTCTAACCTGCTCTTAAAAATCTCCAGTGACAGAGATTCCACAACCCTCCCTAGGCAATTTATTCCAGTGCTTAACCACCCTGACAGTTAGGAAGTTTTTCCTAATGTCCAGCCTAAACCACCCTTGCTGCAATTTAACCCCATTGCTTCTTGTCCTATCCTCAGAGGTTAAAGAGAACAATTTTTCTTCCTCCTCCTTGTAACAACCTTTTGTGTACTTGAAAACTTATGTCCCCCCTCTGTCTTCTCTTCTCCAGACTAAACAAACCCAATTTTTTCCATCTTCCCTCACTGGTCATGTTTTCTAGGCCGTTAATCATTTTTGTTGCTCTTCTCTGGATTTCACCACTTTGTCAACATCTTTCCTGAAATGTGGCACCCAGATCTGGACACAATACTCCAGTTGAGACCTAATCTGCAGAGTAGAGAGGAAGAATTACTTTGTGTCTTGCTTTCAACACTCCTACTAAAACAGTGGTCTCCAACCTTTTTACACCCAAGATCACTTTTTGAATTTAAGGGCAACCCAGGATCTACCCTTCCCCTTCCCCAAGGCCCCACCCCTTCCCCAAAACCCTGCCCCACTCACTCCATCTCCCCCCACCGCTCTCTCTCCCCCACCCTCACTCACTTTCACAGGGCTAGGGAAGGGAGTTGGTGTTCTGGAGTGGGGGTGGGCTCCTGGCTGGAGCCAAGAGGTTTGCAGTGTGGGAGGGGGCTCCAGGCTGAGCCTGGGACAGGGACTTGGGGTGCAGGAGGGGCTATGGGGTGCTGGCTCTGGAAGAGGGGTTGGGGTGCGGGATCCCACCGGGTGGCGCTTACCTCGGGCAGCATCCAGGCAATGACGCAGCAGGGCTAAGGCAGGCTCTCTGCCTGCCCTGGCCCCATGCCACTCCTGGAAGGGACCAATGCGCCCCTGTGCCCCTCGGGGGTGAGGGGCGGGGACGACACGTGGCTCCACGTGCTGCCCCACTCTGCAGGCACTGCCCCCGCAGCTCCCATTGGCCACAGTTCTCCGTTGCTGGCCAATGGGAACTGCAGGGGTCAATGCTTCCCAGGGCCGCGGGGGCATGCCGGCTGCTTCTGGGAGCAGCATGGGGCCGGTGCAGGCAGGGAGCCTGCCTTAGCGGCAGCCCCGCTATGCCACCAGAGAGCGCGATCAACTGGGAGAGTTTCCAGGATCAACCAGTTGATCACGATCGACTAGTTGGTGACCACTGTGCTAATACATCCCAGAATGATGTTTGATTTTGTTTGCAATAATGTTACTCTGTTCACTCAT